TATGTTATTGTGTGGTTCCCATAATCACCCTGAAAGATAGGCATTAGCTTTTTCTTACAAATGAGGAAGCCAAGGTCAAGCAAGGGAAAGGGACCACCCACCCACCGTGACTCTATCACAGCCCAGTGCTATACTGGTCCAAACCAACGCTCACCACCAAACTCAAGGAATGGGTGATTCAAGTGGCTCCAGGATTCCTTTATTTTACAACAACTCAGTTAATTGTGATTTCCTCTAAATTTCATCTGTATTTGCTGCCTCGAATGCTAAGACGCATGAGGACATGGTGAAGAACAGCTTTCTGTAGTATTAGCAATTCACAAAATGCCATTCACACAATCAGCTGAATTTTCCAAAAGACAGTATTTTAAAACAATTACAGTCTATGGAAATCTCATGATAGGGCATACTCAGAGGCTTAAGGAGCAGAATAAAAATGAGTTGGTAGAGAAGTTTTGAAACAGAAACTCAGGTTAAGATGGAAAGAAATGTGTGTTCATTTCCCAAAGAACAACCACAAAATCCAACCAAAATGGCCCAAGTGGGCCAGGGATTTAGCTCAGTGTTTTTGCCACCTGCTGTGCAGGCGCAAGGACTCCAGTTCGATCCCTGGTACCAAAAACAAAACAAAACAAAAAAAATGGCCCAAGACCCGCGTCTTCGGATGATAAGGCATTGACATGGTCACATTTCACCTCTGCTATGTGCTACCTTCATACACTGACACTGAGGCCACCATATCCTGTGTGATGAATTCGTTCACTGGTTCACAAATATTTGAGTGGCTCCTTCGTGCCAGTTCACTCTAGGGGCTGGGCACAAGGGACAAGTGTGACTCATAAAGTCTCTCAGAGTCTTTATCATAGCTTAACAATTGAAAAGTTTGCAGAATTATAAAAGGTTTGTATTGAGGGGATATATCAGAGGGAAGGTTGGCAAGGGTCACCAAAACCAGGACTGGGAATCTGGTTTTATAAAATATTATTCCTTTTTAAGGAAAAGGAGAAGACTAGAAATAGGATAAGAATTATAAATTCAGAGAAATACACCCACAGTTTAGTATTTCAAATACACATTATTCGGTGTGACTCAAAATTTCTACAAGGAATCCTGAATATCCTCCAGTAAAGAATTCACTCTGGTTGTCGAATGAGCCCTCTTGGGGAGCCAAAAACTGCTTAGCCTGGAAAACATCTAAGGGGCTACATACTGTTTTCTGAGCTTGAGGAACAATTACCAGAGACAACATTTGTACTCTAAGGAAGGCACCAGAAGGAAGAGAACTGATTCCAAGATACCAAAACCTGGGCAGAGGTAGGGGAATGAGATAGAAAGATGACAGAACTAAAGCCAAAGATTTTAATAAACTCAATCTGTGAGATGGTGGTGGTAAAATGAATCACAAGAAGTGTGGGAAATACAAGCTCTGCTTTTGTTGCACCCCTATGTGAAGTACAGTGCTGCAGAAGTGGCAAAAGCGCTTATTTTTTAAAAATACAAAAATATTTGTATAATGTAACTTTATGCTTCCAGACAAGAATGTATGTTAATAGCAAGAAATGAACTTACTGAGAAGTGATATATGGTGAAGTTGTTTTTTAAAAAAACTACATTAAGGAAAATAAATGTGAACCCTGCTGCAAGGTATAAAGTGAAAGCCAGAGGAGATCCCACAGAAATCTATTGCTGAATAATCACATTTCCCTTTAGCAAAAACCTTTGGAAGTGCCATGCAATGGTGTCTGTTTGTATTTTGCTCTTTGATTAAAAGAAAGACCTCCAGCAATAAAAACTGGGTCACTCTGTTGCCCTTTGTGCAGATTACTCGCTTGTATTCAACTGTGCTAGTTCTCTGGAATTTTCCTATTCTTTAGCATAATTGTAATGATTGAAAGATATTTTGGAGAGAATGGGTCAGGTGCTTTGCCTCCATACTCTTTTGAAGTGCCTTCATATGAACAATGTAACAGTTCTGTAAAAAAGGAAGCCCATTCCACTTTAGGAGCATGCTTTGTTTTAAGCCACAAAGACACAGATGTACTTTTGTCACATTCTGCTGGCCAGAATTTTCAAGAAGGATCAGAACAAAAAAACTGGCTAGAAAGAAAATTATTTTGATCAAATATCATGTTCTTTTATTTATGAAATTGTTGCTTATTCCTTCCATGCAGTCCTTATTTGTCTTTAAGTGTGTACCCCCAGGCATGCTTATTTATTTTTATTGTCTCAAGGTAACATTTAAAATATATATTAAATGAATCACATTTTTTCATTATTACATTTACAAGGATTTAATTGTACTTTGTAACTTATTTTTCTTACTAGCCAAATGTTCAGTGCATTGTTTTTGATGATTTAGGCACTCATACGAACACCATAAATTAGGACATTGTTTATCATTGTTGCTCTGAATCCTATGAGTGATCTTTTCTTCATTTTCAAGACCTACACTCACCCTAGAAAACATTCGCTGTATAATCTGGTCAATCGTTTCCATTCTGTGTCTTTCTATACTAGCACAGTGTCTTAAACTACAGAAGTTACATACTGAGTTTTTGTTTTTGTTTGTTTTGAGCAAGCTAAATGGATGTTTTGGGCATCATAATGTGAAACCACTTCCTTCTTTTTTTTTTTTAAATTTAATTTTTGTTTTGAAAGCACTTCTTTCTTTACAGTATTTGACCAAATTTGTGTGTCTCTGATATTTGTAAATACACGCAATATCTGTATTACTTATCATAAGCCTATTTAGTTTTTTTCTCAATAGGATTTTTTTTTTTTTTTTTGTACTGGGGATTGAACTCGGGTCCTTGTGCTTGTGAGGCAAGCAGTAGAACTACTGAACTAAATTCCTGGCCCTTAGTCTCAATAGGATTTTTCTGACTGTACATTGTTTATAAGATCTGAACTCCTTATACTTAAGAAGGTGTGTATATTAATCCAATTATGGACTTAAATATGTTAAAATATAAATACCCTTATTTGCTGCAAAGACCAGTGTGTAGACATTTGCTTTTCAGCAATATTTTTAAGTGCTCCCTTTTAATGCCAAGGAGTAAGTCTTTTAGCAACACAAACTGGTCAACAGTAGGTAATGCAGGTGTGTTCAGGTCAGGCCAACAATGTTTTGAATTTTTATGCTTCTTTTCTGTCAACACTAATGAAGTCAACATTGCCTGAACGTCTGAATAATGAAACACATCCCTGTTTAAAAGTATGTAACTGAAAAAGAAGTAAAAAATAAAGGTAGTTTTTCTAAAAAAAATTAAATCTGTGAGTCTTCTAGCTTTGCGCCAGTGTCGAGAAGTATTTCACGGCCACTTGAATCTTAAAGGACTCCATGATCAAACTTCCCTAAACTGAATTTTCTCTTTAAAAATAAGCAGACCTAAGGCTGAAGTTGTTAGCAACCCAGTAGATAGGCACAGGCACTCTTAAGGATGGAGGTTCTCACCCCATTAAAGCCAAGGGAGGCTGTGTTGAGTCAGCAAGTCACTGAGACGCTGAGCACACGACCTTGGGTCCCCTCATTTCCATACCCCTGTCAAGGGCTAAGGAAGTAGCAGGTGCTCCGTAAAGGCTGCAGAATGATGTGCTCAACCCTGTGCTTGGAGGCACAGGCCCTGAGGAGCCCACTGTCCAGGGAGAACACAGCCATCTTTCTCAGGTGCTAAGGACGCTGGACTGTATTTAAAGCCTGCATGCCACACCACGCCTGACATCTGTCCCCCACACCGCATATTTCTAAGAACTTCTCAAACTATAAATCAACAAGCAACCTTGGCAGCTATTCAGGTTAGACAAGGCTGTCAAGGACTATGGTCCCCTGCTTTAATAAGAGAAGCTCTAAATTATCTTCAAGCACAGCATTAGGAAGACAGCTTCTCCAACTGGGAAATAAGGTAATCTGCATTGAAGCTATAAGTTTTGTTTTGTTGTTGTTTTTTTATTAAATTCTTTTTTTGGTACATTGTAGGTATACAACACAATTACATTTCTCATTGGGAATTGGACCTTTACATAATGCATCTTGGTTCTTATTTTTTCCCCATTCCTAGCCCTCCCTTCACGCCCTCCACCCTTCCCTATTTACAAAGACTTTATTTCCATTTTTTCCATTTCTCATCATTTTTCCTTTCCCTTCTTTCCTTTCCCCTGCCCCTCCCATTACCCCTACCCCTCTGGACCTTTTCTTCCTATTTTACATTTTCAATTATTCATTCTAATCATTGGGACATTTTAGGTATACAATATAATGACATTCATCATTGGAAATTTGCACCTTTACATAGTCTCTCTTGGTTCTTATTTTTCATTCTTGCCCAGCCCTCCCTTCAACCCCTCCATTCCTTGCTGTTTACAAAGATTTTGTTCCTATTTTTCCATTTTCTCATATTAATCCCATTCCCTTCTATCCTTTCCTCTAGCCCTCCCACTTCCTTCCCCTTTGCCCCTTTTCTTCCTATTTCACATTACCTATTATACATTTAGTCCTTATTTACACTTTCAGTTTCTCACACCAGAGAAACTATTCGGAATTTATTCATGTGTGTCCTATTTATTTCACTTAAGAGTATTGCCTCAATGTGCATCCATTTAGCTATAAATGTCTCTAATTTCTCACTTTTTATGGCTGAGTAGTACTCCATTTTATTAAAAAACCACATTTTCTCTATCCAGTCTCCAGTTGATGGGTATTTGGGCTGTTTCCAAGTTTTAGCTATTACAAACTGTGCTGCTATGAACATGGGCATACATATATGACTGTGGTATGATTCTTTTAATTCTTTGGGGAAGATCCCCAGCAGTGGAATAGCGGGGTCAAATGGGACTTCCAGTACTAGTTCTTTGAGGTATCTCCATACTGATTTCCACAGTGCTTGCACCAGTCTACACTCCCACCAGCAGTGGAGCAGGGTTCCTCTTTCCCCACAGCCCCGCCAGCATTTGTTATTGGTTGATTTCATGATAGCAGCCATTCTTTCTGGAGTGAGGTGGAATCTCGCGTTGTTTTCATTTGCATCTCTCAAATGACCAGTGATGTTGAACATTTTTTCATGTATTTATTTGCTATTTCTATTGAAGCTATAAGTTTACCAACAAGGGTTAGAGTTGCTGAGTGGCCTCCAGCCTCTTCTTTGTGCCAGTGAGGTCACCAGGGCCCAGAAGACTTAAGCAACAACTTTGTTACAACTATTAAAAAAAATAGGCAAGTAGTTCAGGACTGATGAAAATACTGGACTCTTTTCTGAAAATGTGCTTTCAATGTACATGGCATTGAGATCCACCTAGGAAAGTAACTTCTAGAATCCTACTTTCATACAAAAGGCCCCAAACTTCTTCCAATGAATTTTCTTTCTTTTTTTTTGGCAGTACTAGGGATTGAACTCAGGCCTTCCCACTGAGCTATATCCCTAACTCTTTTCAAATTAAATTTTTAAAAACTCTGAGACAGGGTCTTGCTCTCTTGACAGGGTCAAGCTGGGCTTGAACTTGCGATCCTCCTGTCTCAACCTCCTCCCAGAGTGCTAGGGTTATAGGCATGCACCACCACTCCCCACTGAACATCTACCTAAGAACTGAAGTACAGTCTGTCTGTTTCTGCCAAGGCTAGAAGGCAAAACCCAGGACAGCTTTTCAGAGGAAGAACTCCTTTCTGATTCTCACAAACCAAAGGGAAATTCATTGTTATTCACTGTGCAAATCTGAACAAGAATGTCTAACTTCTCTTCATAATCTAGAAACCTGAAGTGGGCCATGGTGATGTTATGGCCCAGACATTGTCCAGAGGTGGACCAGCCTGCAGGCCAGGATGGGGGAAGCCTTCTGTCTAGGACTCTGTCCAATTTGGAAGAAGAATTAAAGGTAATGGTTTCTAAAGTTTGGGATTTCTTAGATAATTACAATTTCAAGACACATTCTGGAAACCAAACTGCTTCTTGCTACCAGAAAAGCACAGGGAAAATTCCATCTGCCCACTGACTGCTCCTACACACACACACACACACACACACACACACACACATGCACGCACGCACGCACGCACACACACAAACACCAGCTCTGTCAGGAAGGAGGGAATGTCCAGTTCCCAGGGCCAATTTTCAAGTTTCAACTCTAAGAACAGAAGGTAATTTTAAAATTTTCAGTCTGAGTGAGCTACTACTCTTTTTACAGGAAGGGACAGAAACTCAGCTCAATACTCGGGTATGAACTTTGTATGCTTAAAATGATCTGTGTAAAATGTCCCAAATTATTTAGAACCAGTCCTAAAAGGATTCCCACTGTTCTTTATAAATAATGAGTACTTAAAAGACCCAGATGTTTACCTAACTTTAATATCCCATAGGAGTAATGATATTTTACAACTGTTAAATGGACTTAAGTTAAATAGCAAAAGTCCACTGGCTTATTCCCAAGGAGTAAAAGTCACTGCTAAATCTCTTTCTTTCTCTCAAAAATTACCCCAAAAGAACAAACTATCAGAAGATATTTCTATAAAGCTGGAAGTTTAGGAGACAATAGAATAATGAGTTTTAGTCTAATTTTTCCTTGATTGTTAAGAGAAAAGAAAAAATCATAAATGGCTCAAACATAAGTATAAGAGAACAAAACAACTTCCTGGATGTCACTGGACTTTGTTTCCTTTGTATATGTTTCACAGTCCACTGTCTTACTCCTCTCATCAGTGTAAGCCCTTTGTGATACACATGTGGAAATACCAGACAGAAAGGGTCAACACTTGGTAAGCACTAGGTAAGGGCCAGTGTTTTATATGGGCCATCTCTCCATCCCTGCATCCCTCTTTGAGATAGTGACTATATTATCCACTTTTCTTTTGGCAACAAACTTAAGTGAAGCCAGGTCATACAGGCTAAGGTCAACCCGAGATCAGAAAGGCAGTTAAATGGCAGAACTGGGATTTGAAACAACTGATTCTAAAGTTCAAGATCTTTCTACTATGCTAAAGGGCTGCAGCCTTTAACACGTAAATGCTCGGTGACTGGCCCTGCCGCTGTCCATCTCTTCTGAGAGTGTTGTTAATGGTATTACTGATAGGTTTCTCCTTAATCAGCACAGAGATTTATGTGACTTTACTTTTCCTGATGGAAACCCTATAAAATTAATGCTACTATCTTAAGAAAGTTCAAAAAGCAAAATTAAAGGTTAATTTCTCAGAGATACAGAAATCTCAAATACAATCCAACAAAGGAAAAAATATTAAGATATATTTAGTACTGTCAAATTAGACTATGTCAGGAATGCAAGGATTGTAACAAGACCAAAACAAATAAAAACAAAAAGCTATTTATGTGATATACAACATCAGTGAAACAAAGTCGTATGATCAATAAATGCTGAGAACACATTTGACAAAATTTAACATTTTTTTAAAGTCTCAGACATCCTCCATTCTACAGCCCCTGCCTCCTAAAAGGTGAACTTCTGCCTAATCTGATAAAGGTCATCTGTTAGAAAAGGGCGTGGCTGAGCAGAAACAGAGTGTGGCTTTCAGTTAAGTGTGCTTTCAACAGTGTTGCACTCAGACACTAGTTAACTAGACACTTTCCTCACTTGCAAAATGGGTACCATATGAATATTTTTTCTAAAAATGTAATTTAAAATCATACATATTTTAAATCATTTAACAATGGCATGGTATAACCAACTATGAAATAAGCAAGCTATAAAATGTAAAATATTGTTAGATATGTATAACTAGGAAAATAAAGCTGGCTATTGTGGTGCACACCTGTAATCCCAGCACGCTGGGAAGCTAAGGCAGAAGGATCACAAGTTGGAGCCCAACCTGGGCAGTTTAGCAACTTAGTGAGGCCCTGTCTCAAAATTTAAAAGAAGATGTGATCTAGCTCAGTGTAAAGGCCTTGGGTTCAATCTACAGTACCAAAAGAAGGAAGAAGAGGAAGATGTTGATAGTGGAGGAGGGGGAGAGGAGGAGGAAGAACAAAGAAGAAAATAATTACCTCAGCTAGTTTTTCAAGGATAATCAATGGTCCCTTCACTCAGTTGCTTTGGCACTTATCTGCCATACAGCTTGCAAATTGAATGCATTTACATTATATTAAGTTGAAAAAAGCACAACTTTAATCCCATGCACATATGCACATGGTGAACTTGTTTTTGTATACATATATGTATATACTTAATTATAATAAGTATATAATTTTGTATTAGATGCACTGTGATTAAGGAGGGAAAGCCAAGAAGAGAACACCAAACAGTAACAGAATTTTCTTCCAAGTGGTCATCTCTGGGGTCTCCTCCTTCTTGTTAGTCTCACACATTTTCCAGATACTCTACACTATTGACACATATTCCATTTGTGTATATCAGAAATAACAAAAGTATCAGCTGGACTTGGTGGCACATACCATGCCGGTGTTCCCGGCTACTCGGGAGGCAGAGGTGGGAGGATGGCAAGTTCAAGGACAGCCTGGGCAACACATCAAGACCCTAACTCAAAATAAATCAATAAAACAGAAAAATAACAGAAGTTTAAATTTGTTAATGTTTATTTCCAGAAAAATAAAACCTGATCAGAGAAAGCCTTTAAGGCCTGTGCAGCGCAAAGGATGACCTTCATGCATCTAGCTGATCCATCTGAACTTCTAGAAGAGATTGTGATCACTCAGAAGGACTGATGACTATTTAGTCAGCCTCACTGTCGAAAAAAAGACAATCACAGAAGTTCAGGATAGTAGAGAGGATGTGATCAGAAGATGACTAATGCCAGGATGTTCTCATCAAAGGCCCAACTGCCTAACTGACAGCCCAGAATGAAACTCGAGCAAGAAGGCAGAGAAAGGGGCGATAAGGCAGAACGCAGGGTATTTAATCCATCCAGGGGAAACACAAAACCTCCCATGTCTTAATGCAGAGAGAGGAGAGGAAAGCACAGTGACACTCTGCAAGGACAAGCTTTGGCAAAAGAAGGAACAGGATGAAGGGGAGCATGGTACGGGGAAGCAAGAGGGAGCCAACAAGTAGCCAATTCACTTTGAGACTTCAGATGGTGGTGGTGGGAGCCGCACATGGCTGGGCACCAGGACTGCTGATTTACATGAAAACAAGCTTGTATGATGAAGGGGAAAGGCAGGCTCGCAGGCCACTGCTCCAGGGGCACATTCAGGAACCGATATACATTGAAACTTTTACTCAGAAGAGAAGCTTGATATAACGTACACAAATAGAAGGTTCTGCTGGAGAACAGAAGGATGCCATGAATGCAAGCATATGCTGTTTGTTACTGTGAACTAACACATGACTCAGGATAGTCAGTTTTTAAAATATCGCCAAAAACTCTGCTCCCAAATGGGTCATACTATGCAGATGGGGACATGGTGACAATACAGTCATGCATCAAGAATATATTTTCACACGATTATATTCTGGACCAAAGCATATCAGGCTACTTCCCATGAGCAAGAAGCTTCCCTGGTTTTAAACAGGTTGTGAAAATCAGCATCAGCCCACGTGTAGGGTTTGCAAGAGACTGGACTTGTTAGAAGTCATAAAGGACAGCACGTGGGGCCAAGCCCAAGCTGCAGGACTTGAACTGAACATGCTGAGCCCTTTGGTCTCACAGAGGTCATATACATCTATAAAATGCTACACTGTCAGTGGTCTCATATGACCAACAATCCCTTATCAGAGCGACGGTCACGTATTAATGGCGCCACCTGTGACGAAGATGGGTGAAGGAGGCTACAGAGCTGGTTTGTACATAAAACCTCTCCTGGCTTTCGTTTCAATGACCTTTGTGTGTTGGAGATCCCCTATTATATTAGAGCAAACACATGTTTATTCTTTTTGGTCACTACACAGGGAGCGGAAAGCAAGGGAATGGCTGATGTGGGGAGAGAGTTGAACTGGCAAGAGTGTGTGAGGTGCACAAGAACTCTGCAGGCTGAAGAGAATGCACACAGCCCATGATTTTGTAAACAACTTGGAAAGTATACAAAATACACTGAGAACGCGCTCTCGTGGGAAAGAATTTACCCCACCAGGGTGACAAAGCTGCAAACAGTTTGGTTTTGGCTTGTGTGTTTTTTGTTCTAACATGCCAAGCTCCTCCGCTGCTCTCAGAAAGTAGACAGACCCAAGTTTAGGAAAATGGATATTCCTATAAATACAAGACAGACAGGAAGGTTGCAGATTCTGATGTCAAAGCCCGGGGAACTGCACATAACACCCAGGATAGCAATCTCTTTCAAGATAATTCATGCTTCTCTGCCCACCGCTTACAGTCGGGAGGCCCAGCTGATCTCCCGCAGGGATCCCTTTCTTGGCTGGGAACTGGACCACCTTCCTGTACGTAAATCCCTGTGCAATACGTATCCACTGCAGACCACAACACACAGCCAAGTTTTCTCTGTGTATCAGTCACTCGTTCCTTAAAGGACTGGAAGACAATTTCAGAATTAAGTCATTGTTTCTACGCCAGACATGACAGCCTGCCAGCATTTGTGCAGCAGAAGTATCCATAGTTATGAAGCCAAGAAAAGATGAAATTTTCCTCCTTTGGATGGACCCTAGCTAGGTGCAAAATGCTGGCAGATAATTATGGAAATATAGAACCCTAAAATGCATTCCAAGTGCTTTATAATTCACACCAATAAGTACAGCTACAGAATGTGTTTCTTTCGGTTTGTGGCAAAGTTTCTAACTAATGGCTAAGTAGTTACACAAAACTGCAGGGGTAGAGAGAAGGGATGAAGAGGAGGACTTTGTGACCCACTAGTTTACAATTTAATATGGGAAGGTACATTTAACTTTGGAGAAAAGCTGTAAAGCTCCTTTGGAAAAGTACAAAGAACAGGAAAGCCAGTGGGGAAAGAAGCAACTGTGCAATGATAGGATTAATCAGAACCAGTTTTCTAGGTGAACAAAGTCTGAAGTCAGGCTTGAAGGAGAGAAGAAAAAGGGAGTTGAGTGGGAAAACGTATGTGGAGACAAGAAAGAAACCAGGTTTTTAAGGTCATTTTGGCTCAGCTGTTCATGCCTGTAGTCCCAGGTGCTTAGAAGGCAGAGGCAGGAGGATCACTTGAGTGAATTAGAGGTCAACCGGGGCAACATAATAAGACTCTGTCTCAAAAAAAAAAAGTATAAAGAAATGACACATATTTCTTTTTAAATTTTTCTTAGTGTCTATTAGTTTTATAAAATATTAGGTTTCATTATATTTTATACATGCATAATACATATTTTAATCATATCCATTTTCCCTATTACCTTTCCCCTACATCCATTCTCTTCCTCCTGCCTAACAATACCATAATCTCCTTTCTACTTTCATGGTATCTTTTTTTCCTCCACATATTAAGGAAAATATGCAGTAATTTCTGAGCCTAGTTTACTTTGCTTAACATAATGAGCTCTAGCTCCATTAATTTTCCTGCCAATGATATAATTTCATTCTTCTTTAGGGCTGAATAATACTCCACGGCGTGTGTGCACATGCACGCGCGCGCGCACACACACACACACACACACACACACACCTCATTGCTTTACCTATTTATCTGTTGATGTGCCCCTAGGCTGGTTCTGTGTCTTGGCTATGGTGAACTGGGCCACAATAAGCGTAAGTGTGCAGGTATCCCTACAGTAAGTTAATTCCTTCAGATGTACCAAGGAGTGGTACAGCTGCATCACAGGGCAGTTCTAGCTGTACTTTTTAAGAAATCTCCACACTGATTCCTATAGTGGCTGTACTAATTCAGTCTCAGCAGCAGTGCAGAGGATTCTTTTCCCTCACATCCCTACATTTATTATTTTTTGTATTCTTGATGATAAATCTCAATGTAGTTTTGATTTGTATTTCCCTAGTGGCTAAAGATGTTGAACATTTTTTTACATACATATTGGCCATTTGCATGTGTCTGTTCAATTCATTTGCCCATTTATTGATTGAGCTATTTTTTTTCATTTGATGTCACATTCAGTTCTTTGTTTTAGATGTTAGTCCTCCACTGGAAGAGCAGCAGACAAGATTTCCTCTCATCCTGTAGGCTGTCTCTTCACTCTGTTAGTTGTTTCCCTTGCTGTGCAGGAAGTTTTTAATTTGATGTCGTCCCATATGTTAATTCTTGCTATTATTTCCTGCCCTATAAAGGACACGTGTGTATGGCTTCAAGTGCTTCCCCTATGCCTTCTTCTAGCAGTTTCAGAGATTCTGGTCTTTACCCTAGGTCTTTGATCCATTCTGAATTGATTTTTGTACAGGGTGAGAGATAAGGATCTAGTTTCAATCTTCTACATATGGATATCTACTTTCCCATACCTCTTGTAAAAGAGGCTGTCTTTTCACCAACATATTTTTGTTGATCTCATCAAGATACAGATGGCTATAACTATGAAGGTTTGTTTCTGTGTCCTCCATTCTAATTCACTGGCCCATATGTCTATTTTTGTGCCAGCACCATGCTGTTTCTGCTACTATGGCTTTGTAGTATAATTTGAAATCAGGTCTTTCAAATTTGAAATCTTGCTCTTTTTGCTCAGATTGCTTTGGTTATTCTGGGTCTTTTGTGCTGCCACAGGAATTTTAGAATTATTTTCCTGATTTCTTTCTCAGCTAGTTCATCCTAGTATATAGAAAAGCTACAGATATTTAAATACTGATTTTGTATCCTAAGTACACAATTTCAGGGTGCACTTTTGTTCTTTGTCTTTGGTTCTATTTCCCAGCTTTAAATCTTTGTTTTATGAAAATTCCTATGGCAGGCCATCCCTCTCCAGGCCTCCCAAAGCCTCTAAGTGTCCTGAAGACAGGAGCAGGGAGACTACCCAGGATATTTTACAGCTGTGTCCAGGCACCACAGGTGCAAAGGTACAGGTGTTAGATGACAGTGAGAAGATCAGAAGAGCTCCAAATCAAGGGCCTGGACAGAGTTTCAGTCCACTGGCAAAAGTTCTTTCAATGAAGTTCATTTAGCACATCTAAACACACCTCACTGCATGGAATCATGTGGACTGGGTTAGATATCAATTAAGTCAAGACACAAATGACCATCATCACTATTAAATTTACATACTGTTACTATTAATCCTGATCTGTCAGCTTCATTGGATTAAAAAATGCCTGGCAGAATAGTAAAATACACTCCTGGGTGTGCCTGGGTGGGTCATTAAGATGTGGCCTTGGGAACCACATATGGCCCATGGCCTTCCTCTCCCACACTGTTCTCCAGATCTGCTTCTGGCAGCCAAGAACTAAGCAGCTCTGCTGTGTCACACCTTTCCACCATGACCATCCATTGCATTCTTCACCACAACTCATCTGTGTTTCCGTACTTAATCACGGGTTCACACTCGAGCTCAGGGAAACTGCACTCCGAGATGATGTGCAGTGTGGCCCCACGAGCTGCACGCCGCCAGGGCCTGGCTGGACAGAGAGTGAGCAGCTTCCTCCTGAGCCAGCCAGGCTCCAGCCAGCCCAGTGCACAGGGGGCTGCAGTGTGCAGGCGCCAGCGAGCCCAGGGGGAGGCAGGGTCCTCGGATCCTCCTTTCAGCCTCTTGACCCCGGGGTTCCACTCCAGGGGCTCCCCCAGAAACTGCCCAGGAACATATCCTGCTCTCTTCATGCACCAGTAGCCTCCTACCCCTGAGGCTGGGTGAGGAAGTATGTCAAGAAGGAAAAACGCAAGTTGACAAAGAACTAGAATTTTCTCCTTCTGTTTATCTTTTGCAGTTTTTTTTTCCCCCAGACATGAGCTGTCTCATGTTGGTACCCTAAATGTGTCCTTTATTCAAGCTGTACAACACACAACACAATGGAGAGATCTGCTGTTGGTTTACTCCTATTTGGTAGACAAAACTGAGCAAACCCATTCTTTACACATCCAGCTCATAAACCAAAAAGTTCAGTTCTCAATCAATTCATCATGCGCTTACTCCTTATGACCTTCCTTTCTCCCTAAAATCAGGGCTCTCCGGGCCTGGTGGGAGGCGTGGTGAGTTCAGGGAGTGGTTCTGAGAGCACAGAATAAGGCTTCTGGTACAAGCTGTGCTGGGAAACATTGATTACCTAGTATCCAATTAATCAGGAGTTCCCAGATCTCCCGTAGTCAAAAGAGTTTACTCCTCTTTCTCGCTTTAAAAAGATCAAGGTAATAACTTAGTGGCCACTAAATATCATTAGATTATTGGCTGTTTGATAAATTCTGCCAATATTTTATGTGTAACACTGTTCACATAAAAAAGCAGGAAATAACAAGTGCTGGGTGAGGATGTGGAGAAATTGGAACATGGAGTTTCTGATAGGAATATAAAATGATATGGCCCCTGTAGGAATACAGCAATTCCTTAAAAAGTTAAACACAAAATTGTCACAGGACCCAACAATGCCTCTTATGGGTAGAGATTGGAAAGAATTGAAAGCAGGAGCTCTAGCGGGTATTTGTAGACCCAAGCTCACGGTGGCAGCAGATTCACAATGACTGGAACTCACCCTTAAAAGAAAGGGAATTCTGACACACACTGTATCATGGATGAACCTTGAGGACATTATTCTTAGCAAAATAAGCCCCTCACAAAAAGATAATACCATACAATTGGATTTACAGGAGATACTTACAGCAGACAGCAGTCAAATTCAGAAACAAAGTAGAAGAGAGGTTGTGGGGGGGAGGGGCACGGGACCGGGAAATCAGCATGGCTGCCCAACAAGGAGAAGTACTTAGTGCTATTTACTTAAAAATCATTAAAATGTTAAATTTTATGTTTTGTATATTTTAGCACAATTTCAAAACACAAAACACTCAGGGTCAGATCCTGTCCTAAACTTCTTTGCAAATGTTTGTTCATTTGATCTTCTCCACAGCCCCAGAGGCAGCTCTATCATCATCCTCATCATCTTCACTACTCCCTCACCCAGGGTCACACTGGCCAGAGGCAGGGCCAAGATGAAAAGGCTGGCACCACACCTTGCCCTGAAGGATCCTGCCCTCCACGTGGGCACAGAACAGACCCTATTGCCCACGCCACTGGAAGAGTCCAAAGATCCCAGCGCTGATACCAGGGGGCTCACCACATGGACATTGCATCAGATTCACACTCTGTAGCCTGTCTCACAGAACCAGTGTCAAATTAGAAATGACATCTCTCTGGTCTAACTCTCTTTTCAAGATAGAACTATTGTTAAATTACCCCCAGAGAAGACGAGAATTTGCTTTCTTTTATTTCCTGTATTTATATGTTATGGTCCTGAAAAGTACATGTTATAGTAAATACATATATTTTTTCAGTTCTGGAGATTAAACCCAGGGTCTTTACATGGAGTTACATCCCCAGCCTATTTTTTCTTTTGAGACAGGGTCTCAATAAGTTGCCTATGCTCCACTCAAACTTGTGATCCTCCTGCCTCAGCCTTCCAGAGTGCTGTGATCAAAGGTATACACCACCAAACCCGGGATTTCCAGCTTTCTTTCTGTCCTTTGCATTTAGCTCTCATGGTCTCTAGGACCTCTTGATCTGTAACTATTTGTTGGCCTTTGTCTTTCTTGATCTTATGTTTTCGAGGATTTCCAACCAGTGATTTTGTCACAGAATATCCACAAATTTAGGTCTGCCTGATGTGACTCGGGTTATGGCAATGAGATCCAGGTTACGGTGACGCGATCCATCTTTGGGACCTCGGCACACAACATACAACGTGGGCCATGTGCTCCGCACAGCACCGATGCCAGTTTGTCTCAAGACGACCATGCTAACTGCAATTGCTTGGTCAAGATGATGTGATGTGTGCAGGTTTCTCCACTTGTGAGGAGAATCTTTGAAACTATATAAATATCCTCTTCCTCCTAAGTTTGTCACCCCCATAGATACACTGCTTCTGTAAATCCATCCTTCTTCCCACTATTGTAAGGAAGAATCTTCCTTCTGCTTCATTCATTTCCATCAGTTTAGATTTGTGGACTCTATATTCAATCCTCCTGCATTCAAATTATAATGGGGGAAAAAACCACCACAGTGGCTTTGAAATAGAAAAAAAAGTGTCAAGAAAGCATTGAAATTTTACATAAATGTCTCATAAAACTAGTCTAGAATGTGACTGATGGATGTGCTCACATGTCTGCCGTCACAGCTAAACACTTGCTCTTCCACAGAACATGGGATTCATCTCAGGTGTGAAATGCCCTGTGCCATAGCAGGTCTTCAGGTGATCATGGCCTGCCTTGGAACTTGTGATCTTCCCAACAGCCTTGCTGGCGAGACCACCCTATCTACAGAAGAGGAAAACTGCTTGGAGAGCTAAGAACCTGCTCAGGCTCTGGAGCCAGGCAGCCCGGAGCGCACCATGTGGATTCTAAGCCCTGTGCTCTTTGCACACACAGCCCTGTCCTCCCAAACAGCTGTGATGGAACAGTCTGCAGATCCATGGAGACCTTTGCTCCCACACATTTCCTATGCCAGATAACTATTCTATCGTAATGAGCTTCTCCAGTGAGTGTAGGATCTAAAGCTCTGGAGATTATTAATTTGTATGTGTGCTTTCTCACTCTAACTTGTGGCCCTGCCCTTTCTACGGGGCAATGTCTGTCAGCCCCTCCCAGAGGCAATTTTCCACCAGGACACAACTTATGTGTTTCTGTGCAGGTCTCTTGAGATTCAAGCAGAATAAACATAATCTTTATTCCTGGTGACACATTCTTGAGGCACTGAGGAGAGCGCAGAAAGAAGAGGGGCTACAGCTGACCAGTGGGGTGGGAGAGAGCACTGCCCTCACCCTTCCTGTGTAGCGTGCATGGTGGCTAGGTGGCCAGGTGCATCCTACACCTGCCCTGTGGCCCACACTGCATCACGTATCCTTAGTGTGATAAAAGGTGAGCTTTCCTCCCCTTCTCACGTCACACACAGCTTACTTATTCACAACTACAGCTCTTTGAGGTTTAATCAATTCATAACTATACTATGACTGTGACTATAAACATTATAACCTAGTTTTACTACTGTGATAGCTTTTCCATTCAAAGAAATGAGATCAGGGGCTGGGGATTTAGCTCAGTGGTTTCACCGCCTGCTGCGCAAGCGCAAGGACCCAAGTTCAACTCCCCAGTACCAAAAAAAAAAAAAAAAAAGGAAATGAAAGAAATGAGATCAGACTACTACTGGAAGTTTAAAAAGCCTCTCATAAGGCATACCATGGATTTTCAACTTAATTGGAAGGACAGAAAGAAATTATAACATCTTCCATTTTAAAAATTAAGAAATATAGTAGCTATACCATCAGTGGAGGCCTTATAGCCCAATGCCCTCTTTTGTGTGTGTGTGTGGGGGGGTGACTGAGGATTGAACCCAAGAGCACTCTGCCACTCCACTATACCCCAGCCCTTTTTCTATTTTGAGTTAGGGTCTCCATCAGTTGCTCAGGCTGGCCTTAAACTTGCAATTCTCCTGCCTCAGCCTCCTGAATAGCTGGGACTACAGGAACATGCCATGGTGCCAGGCCTCAGTCAGTTTTTATAGCTGCCTAAACCTTCTCCATGGGCTTTAGACAATTTAGTATTAATGTCTCACCTAGAGGTGGGGATCTCTCACAGATAAGAATTCAACTACCCCATCTATGAAGGATTCAGACTCTGGGTCCCAGTTCCTCACTTCCACCTAAATCTCTTCCCTAGCCCACAGCAGGGGTTTTCTTTTCATGTCATTTTCAGCCCACAAATGGATGGTAACGTTACTACAGGGAGACCTCAGCACCACTGCTACCGCTGCAGGCCTGACTTCCATGCCACCTGCACCGTATCCTGCTGCTGCTCCTACTCAAAACCTCAGGTCTGAATGCCCTCTTTTCTGATGGCACACAAGCGTTCCTCATCCCTGCTTCTTAGCAAGGCAATATTTCTTTTTCCTCTCCTTTTGTTTGGGTACTGGGAATTGAGCCCCGGGCCTTCACACTGAGCTACCTCCCCAGCCCTTTTTGAATTTTTGAATTTTTTATTTTGAGACAAGGTGTTACTAAGTCTCTAGGTTGTGCCCAGGATGAGCTCAAACTTGCGATCCTTCTGGCTCAGCCTCCCGGAGTACTGGGATCACATGTGTGCGCCACCACACTGGGCCTAAAGCACCATTTCTTTAACATTGATAACTTACACACCTCTGATGGCAATAGGGATGTACATGTGCACCAGCTCAGCTCAAGGCGATGGGAAGGAAGGGAAGTAACAGGCAACGAAGAAGACAAGAGATGTGATGAACAAAGGAAGACAGAGTGGCGAAGGATCCCTGGCTGGCGCACAACCTGTGGCAAGCACAGTACCAGCGTCCTTTCTTCTCTCCCAGCACTCACTCCCCAGGCTCTCCGTGCCTTCCTGTTCCTTTGATTCTTTTTCTCATATTCCACAGCAGACATGACCTCTTGAAGAGGAGGTATTCTGGGGAGTGAGAGTCTGTGTTCTTTCCCAGGGGAGGGGCTTCATTGACGTGACAGGAAAGACCTAGGAGAAAGGGGACTCCCCAAAGGGACAAAGCACCCAGGGAGCACCAGACTGTGAGGGACAGCAGGAAGAGGGCAGTGATGAAAATCACAGGTTCAGCAATTTAGCAAGACCCTACCTCAAAATAAAAAATAAAAAAGGGCTGGGGATCCAGGTCAGTGCAAAGGACCATCCCCAGTAGCAAAAAACAAAACAAACAAAAGAAACCCTTCCAAAAATAGGCTCATCATTCCAGATCACTTATGGTGCTGCAACACTCTTAAGTTTTTGCATGATTAATTTAATTCTCACAAACCATGGTAGGTACTGCTATTTCCACTTCTGAGATGAGAGGAGCACAGTGTGGCGCCCAAAGACCTGAGCCATCACCTGTAGGGTGTGGATCAGCACATGCTAGTGTGGCTCCAGGACTTGGCTCTTAACCCTGAGCCTGTGTGGCCTTGAGCCCTGGCTAGAAGACAACCTCAGACCAGAAGTCACACATGCCTGGAATCCCAGCACTCTGGGAGGCTGAGGCAGGAGGACTGAAAGTTCAATTCCAGCCTGGGCAACTTACCAACTTAGTGAGACCTTGACTCAAAATTTAAAATTTTTTAAAGGCTTGGGATGTAGCTCAGTGCAAAAGCCCTGGGTTCAATCTACAGTACCTCCCCTCACCAAAAAAAAGGCCTCCCTGGGCAACATGCCTCAGGTGCCGTCCTAGCTAGCCTGAGAGTCCTTCTGCAGGTCAAGGAAATGGATACTATGTCAGTGTGCGCTGAGGTGACACTCAGGTAACACAAGCAAGTTCTGGTATTTATAAGTCAAGAGAACACAGAAATAAATCTTTCAAAATAGCCCCCAACAGCTGTGTCCATTCCAACTTGGTGGCAGCCACAGAGCACACCTCTAGATGTTTCTTCTGGAATGCACTGCTACTCAATTACATCTCAAACTTGAGATCTTTCCACTTCAGCCTCCCCAGCATGCACCACTGGCATTGGCTAGTGTACTTCTTTTAAACATTCTCAGCAGTGAACAGTGGAATGCACCTGTATGCTAGCACTCAGAAGGCTGAGGAAGGAGGATGGCAAATTTGAAGACAACCTGGGCTACATAGGGAGAGCAAGACCACCCTGGAGTACATAGGGAGACCCTCTCTCAAAAAAACCCAAATAGATAGATAGCAAATAAATAAATATCAAACCTCATCCTCCAAGATGGATCAGATGTTTGCAAACAACTAATGGGCAAGCTCAGCCTCACCTGGAGAGTAAGGTGTCAGTCTGAAGGTCTGATTCCTTCATTATATTATTTTGTCCTTCTTGGCTCATAAAATGATTTTGGTAGCAAATCCAAAAGAAAGTAACATTTAAAAAATCTGAACTACTGTAACTGATGATCAGGATGTTGCATATTTACATATTTAAGAGCTAGTTTGTGTTCTAGCCTCTGAACCTCGTAGTTTTATCTAACAGGTAAGAGACATTTCCCTTAGATTTCTCTGCAATTTGAAAATGATGGTGAGAATCTGCCAGACCAAATAGGCAAAGAGAAAAGCACTGAGGTTGGGAATCAGGCTTGGACATAAAATATTTGGATTCTAATCTCAGTAGTGATACACATCAATCTAGTTCAGGTAGAACAGTGATGGTGAACCTTTAGAGATCGAGTGCCCCAACTACAACCCAAAATCCACGTACTTATCACAAAGTGCCAACACTGCCCCAAGTGTGTTGTTATCTAGTGCTCGGCTGCTGGGACGATGCTGGGGAAACTTTGTGCCACAGGTTCACCACTACTGAGGTAGAACAATGGCGCTGAGGAAATCACTCCCCTCCACACATTTGAAGACAGATAGAGAGGAACATAATAAAAACCAGGAAATCTTTAAAGCTCTAGGTGAGAGCACAAGTGAGCTGCATCTCCTGGCCTGACTTTCAGTCACCCTCACCCTACTCAAACCTTATTCAGGGCTCATGAATATGCACTGCATCTCATACATGTAATTATGATCAGAGTGAATTCTGGGACACACATGCATGTTGAGAGCCCCTGGGATGACACAGCACCCTGTCAATCATTCCTGTCAAGCACACCTAGAGTCTCAGGGGAGATACCTGGGCTGGGTACATATTCTTTAAATTCCGAGCCTGATTTATCTGAGTGCAGTGTAGCATAGTGCTTTTTACTTTCCTGTTGTCCCAGCACCACTTTTCTGTTCGGGCCATATTTTGTCTGCACAGACTTGCCCTAAGCATGTCTTCCCATGATCTTCAATAAATGTAGCTGCTTTTCATTTACCATTGGGTATACACTTGCCATTCATTGCTTGCTGTACACAAGAGCCTATCTGCTGAATCCATCTCACAGTAACAAATCTCTAAGCCTCAATTTCCTTATATGTAAAAAAAAATCATCCAAGTAGGCAAGGTGGAGGGAGGAAAGAAGTGGTGCTCAAGCAGGCTAATTGAAAAGAGTTTCAAGAAAACTACAAAGATGTGAACAAGTTAAGGGCAACTAGCAAGAATTGCCTCCCCAGATCTGAAGAGACCAGAGGAGGGATCAGTTACCAGAATCCAGCAAGAATCCAGCTGTACCAACAGCTAAAGGAGAAGGCCATCCCATAGGAGCTGTGGCTCCAGTAGAGGAGCTCACCACCACCACCACCCCCTAGCTTGGACAGCGGATGTGCCCTCATTTCTCTTTTCAAAGCCAGAGGGCCAGGAGCCCATAGGGATCCGTGACTGTGAGCCTCCCAGGATACACAGCACGGCAGGTCAGGAAGGACAAGCAGAATGAGCCAACCCCCTCATAATCACTTATTTTATGTTTCTGCCCATCCTATTAAATGGTAAATGCCATATGGACAGGAAATAACCAGCTAATTCTCTGCCAGGGCAAAACATAGCTCCATCCCTGGCACAGGGTGAGCTACTCATACTAGCTCTTATTATACTATTTAAATAATGTAATTGTTTGAAAAATGAGATGTGATCAGGTTGCTATAAACACAGGAAATAAGCAGAGGGCTAGTACCTTTAAAATACATATGGAGGTCTCCACCCCAGCTCCACCTGTTCCAGTAGCTTGAGGGGATGGGGTGCTCCAAAAACCCAACTCAAAATATTCGCTCAGAAACACACCAGTTTGCTTCTCATTAAAGCCATAAATCTTTTCTGTTGCCACTGAATTTCCCCAATTTGATTATATGTATACAGTTAATTCCATTTGCCAAATACTGCAAGCTTAAATGGTTCAATCCAACATGAATATGTCTGCTCTTAACTTCTACTAAAGGCATTATAAAATGACCATTTGGAAACACCACACATTCCAAAAACTGTGCTGCCACCAAGTAGGAGCCTGAAGAAACAGTAAGGCAAGCAAACCAAAACAAGACCTGTTTCTTAAACCTCTGGCAACTACAGTGCATTATAAACAGCCTAGTGCCTACATGGGCCACAGCTACTGCACCCATATTTTGGAATCTAACAAAAAATATTGTCTATTTAAGATAAAATTTATATTTTAATAGGTATACTTCACATTTTTATAAAGTAATGAAACTAACTTTAGTGTATTTTAAAAGT